GACCGAAGTCTACGTCAAGGTCTCCTGCCTCTCAGTCAGTGTCAGAATGAATATACAATGAATTTTTTGACAGCACCACAGCTTTTGATGTTGTGGCTTCATGCTCCGCTCTCATTATTTTAGATGTAAAATTACTGAGGATAAATTGCAAACTGTCTCCTGTAATTCAAGGGTATTTACAGTGAAATCTGTGGAACAGACAGCGAACTACAGACTCCTTTTTAAATGGTTGTCTGGTGTCAAGGTCAAGCAGGGATCTTTTAATCGATCTGATTAAAACAATATTCACTTGTCAGTTTTACAATTAGCTGCAGGAGCTGCCCAAAGTAACTCTATCTCTGCATGTAATGGTGAGGATTGTGTTGTTCTGTATCATAGAGTTCAGTCAGGATGCAAGTAGTCTCTGAATTATTGAGGCAAAACACAGATATGAAGTGCATTTGGCTTACTCGGGAGTATGGCAACATGCAAGCCCAATTTAAGGCTGTTCAGAAATGATGTGACTGTTTATATACCCTTAAATTCGTGTTTGTTTGTTTTTTGACATTCCTAAATACCTCAGGTCTTTAGAGACGCATTAGTAACTTAACACAGAATGAGTTACAAAATAAAAGGAAACTTAAGTACTAACAATGATAATCTGCCAAAAACATATTTGTGTAGTGATGCCTTTCACTGGAGCAATTTCTTGTTTATTTTTACAAATGTATTGTATAGTGTTATAGGTTACTGAAAATGGCCCCCATTCATTTTCTACACACGTGTCCCAAAGCAGCACTTAAGGACGAGTGCATGCACACGCCGTTAAGAGCTTCTTAACATCTGCTGTCCACGGTGCTTAAGATCATGCTGAATATACTTTCTTCCTTACGTTTGACTGTTTGTAAGCCATGCTTTAGATCAAAATTTATACACTTCAAAGCATGACTGTAGTAAACGATACAAAGAAATGTTTTATACTTGGAATTGTTCTCTATGAAAACAAAACTTAGTGTGCAGTAAACAGTATACTTGCTTGCTGCCCTTTATAATTCATGTTCCTGTGTGTAAAACTGTGATTAACATACCTGATAGAAGGCACACTTGACTGATCACTTGGCGCATATTATATATTATAATCTACAGAATCAGCTGCTTCAGACATGCCTTTATTTTCATTAACTGTCATCAAAACCCTCTAGTATCAAAGGAAGTACTGCTCTGCAATATAACTAAACACCATCATGTTGCTGTAACTGTGAATGTGAAAAAGAATACACTTACATATCTCTCTATAAATCCTATAAAATATATAGAAAACAAAGATTTTCAACACTGTAGATGAATGAGGTATGCCTTTAAGGGTTAATGATTTCTAGTAAACTGACTCCAGCTGTCCTTTTGACGGTGTGCAGCATCTGGTATACACTAAAGATCTATCAACTGAGGTTTTACCCTTTTATTGATTTTCACTAAAATTGTTACGATGGCCAAATGCTTCCCTCTTTCCTCCCAGTGTAAAACAGAATATTGAGAGGCAGGTAAAAAAATTCAGGCCTACAGCAGTTTTATCAAAAGTCTACATCTGTACCACCTTGAGTTAGCGCTGCATAGAAGAGCGTTTTTTCTGAGGTATCAAAAATTATATTGATTTGCATTGGAAATTCTAAACATCTTCCTCTCCACAGGCGGGTGAATAAATATAATTTGATAAAGTCGGGTGTGGGGCAGTTTCATCATTGTGAACTATCTTTTATGGGATCAAATTTAATAATTCAGCATGCGCTACTGTGCCTCTAAAAAGTTCATGTAGGACCTGAGGGTTTATTGTTCTCTTTCAGTGACTTCTTTGTTAAGAGAGAATTTTGTTCTCCAGCGATTTTGTTTCTATAGTTATGTTAACGACAGTGCGTACATGTTGTATGTGCATATCTTTCCTCCTGCCTCTCTGACCTGTGACCATGGGAGCAGACAGCTATAACACAGTTGCCTTGCTGTGCACGCAATGGAAGCACACTAAGTGCAGCACTTCACACATGCCTGGAGTGCTGCTGGGAAGCTTAGGGAATACTTACCTGCCTACAAACATACACACACACACACACACAGCAGTTTTTTAGCCTCAGGTACTTGGCTGTGCTTTACTTGAGTTAGCACCAAGGTTACTTGACTGAATGTGTACTCAAGAGGAAACCACTCTCCAAACAAGGTTCCAGTAAGTCACATGACCTGCTCGATGAAAAACCATCATGTCATGTGACTGTGAAATAGTTTTGTTCTGCGTGTTTTTGTCAATCATCTACTGTATGTGCACCAGTAAAACAACACACTAAATGGACCAAGTTACCAAGGTTACCTTGTCCAAACACCAACCTGACCTAACTGCTGCTTTAGGGATTCACCGCTGGGGAAACTGCCTCTGTAGGCTTAATTAATCACCACCTCAAGCAGTTGAATGAATGAGCCTACAGGCATACTTGCCGAGATACATTCTCCTCTGGCTTTCATTACAGCAAAGATACCTGCATCCTGCATCCTTAAAATGATAAACGAATAACAACATGTTCATTAATTTACAGTCGTGTTTCTGTCCACCAGGTTAATGCAATCCAATACTCACTCAATCTTTTAGCTCTCTGGAAATATCGGTCTCTTTAGCTGCTCGATGCTCCACTATGTTCAACAGCTAGTCTCTAACTGTGTCTGTCTGCTGTTTGGTGCTGAGCAGGTAGTGTACAGTGGGTTTTTAGAGCTTTGGACTTTGTTTTAAAGAATATTTAGCAGATGTATTTAATGAAAGTTGGTACCACCAAATGTCTAGAGGCCATTGAAAGCTTCTTCCAGTAACTGTGTAAAGGTCAGACTCGTTGTTGAAGTAAATATAAACATGTCTCTTAATAACCAGAAGACTGTACTGCATGTTTGAATTTTACAGGTACAATAGTTTTGTTCACCTTGCAAAGACATTTACGGTAAGCTCCTACCTTTTTTCAGAAGCAGTTCTTTTTGTTCAGGTTCTTAATGTAATCCATTCATTCTTCCATATTGTTGTCGTCTTAGCTCTGGCTGACTGTTTGTCACTGTATGTTAAAACAATCTGCTCATAAATATTAACCTTGCCCAATATACCCCCCCCCCCCCCACCACCACACACACACACACACACACACACACACACACACACACACACACACACACACACACACACACACACACACACACACACACACACACACACACACACACACTTAACCTTGTCTTCTGCTTGCAGTGTCACAGAGGGCTCAAAGCCTTTTCTCTCTTGTGTGGGTCTTTGAGGAGATTTTAAAAAATTATCTCAGTCTTCATTTGTTAGGCTAAACTGTTCATTCATTTTTATCTCCTTCTGAAACTTGAGACACATTTGAAACAGCAGAAAACATCACCATGACAAATAAGATTCATTAAAAGAAGAAATCATTCTTTATCACTCTTCTCCTAGCTTGCGTTTCATTTTACTCTGAAAAAGAAAACAGAACTGTTTATTATGTCTGTTTGGTTGAGAATCATTCCCGATAGCCTGTCAGCAGTAACCTCAAATAGTGAAGCTTTATAATGCTGTTGGTCTCTTTTATATTGTATATAGCCTCAATATGCTGCAGGAGACTGATGCCTTCTCTTTTAATTAAATTATTAACAAATGATACCAGCACCAATTTTCATTATTCAATTTCCTGCTGATTAGGACACTTTAATTAACAATATGCAATTATTATCCATGACGGAATTCAATTGTACTCAGTCCTTTTCAGTGAGGTAAATTATTATGAAGCAAATTATTTTCTGGGCTTTGTTCTACTGCTTAGAAAGCTGTTTGTTTAGAAGTATAGGGTGTATAAATTGAAGTTATTGTTTCTATATACTATACTGAGATAACGCATCATACAGTGTACAGTCTTTGTCACTTTGTCACTCTCAGTGTACATGAAATGGCATTCTCATCTTCACTGGGTTACCACCGCCGACCTCTAACCTGCAACCCCATGTTTTCACAGATCATAAATATCACTGTGCTTTTCAACACTAAACATAAAGCTCTGAAATATTCAGACCAGCCTGTAGCACACTATTCAACCCGTGTATAATGTCCCAAAAGGTACTAGGATTCAATAAAAGGGCTGTATTAAACGAGAAACCTGGGAACTAGTCTTTATTTATGGTGCAAAAAAATCAATCTGCAGAAGACAAAATCACGAATCAAGATTTTAGAGCTACAGACCTGTAATCATGTAAAATTGATCTCCCTCCCTATATTCTGTAAAAATTTAAACTAGTGTTGGTAAAGCTTCCTGTTACTGTTACACACACTCAGATGTTTGCCTCTAAAGCGCATTTAATCCTACTGGAAGCAGGACAGCCACCGATGTTTTATGGACTCTGGACATGAACTGAGTCTATCAACAAGGACCACAAGCAGTAATGTACTGTTTGTCACACTAAATGTGAGTTCTCAGTGCTGTCAGCTCAGCTATGAAATGAGTCAGGACTGCACTCATTCTGAACCATTCAGTTTCCTTTTACAATATTCTGTAGTGTGAGGACACTCATAGAAAAAGGTTCACTTACTCCATAAATGATCACACATTACCACTTCATTAATTATTAAAGGAAGCTTGTGTGTGTTACTCTAGCGATACCTTTAGGGAAATTACTTTCACTTTCTCCTCTCTGCGTAGGTCAAAGAGCAATGTCAGATACAGAACAAAGGGGATGAATCTTTTCTTCAAGGACACCAGAGCTTCTCATCATGTGTATGTGTTTCTGTTGAAGAACAGCCAATCAGTCTCTTTAAATAACAGGCCACCCTTCACCTCCTAACATACATTACAGCACAAGGAAAACAGCATTTATCACAATGATTATATTAGCGCTATCATTTATCCACGTTCCTTAAATGTCACCTTACGCACAACCTTGCCGGTAGGTTGAGAGGCTGTGGCCTAGACAAATATTCATGCTATTTGTCTTCCTGTGCCTCCTAGAGACTCCAGCGAGGGGAGAGGACGGTCAGGCGGACACATCATTCTCTGACTCGTCGCTGTTCGCTCACTGGGGTCAGGAGCTCAGTCCAGACAACCGCCGGGTGGCACTGAAGATGTTCCAGTACTATGGATATAACGGCTACCTCAGTGAGCGTCTCTCTCTAGACAGGCCAATACCAGACCTCAGGCCTGATGGGTAAGAATGCAGGTAGAATGGTGCTCAAACACTGTCAACCTTCACTAGATGCTTGGTTTTGATAGAGTATATATCTATAAAGTAACTTATGTTTGAGGAACTATTTATTTCTGTTGTTTCCTGACACATCTGAATTACAGTACATCTTGAGACATGAGAGTCATGTGCCCAAATTTTGTTCTGCAAAAGTGTCAGTTTTTGATTTTCCTCCTCACTTGCAGCTTTTTCACTTGCACTGAGATAGCTAGAGTATTACAGTATATAACAGTATCAAAACAAGGCTGTGCTTTGAGCTAAACCCTAACATCAGCAGGCTAACATGCTCACAGTGACAATTGTTAAGATACTGAAGTTAAGCAGGTATAAGGTTTAAACCATGTTCACCACCTCAGTTTAGCATGTTGGTATTGTAACATCTGATAATTAGCATTAAAAAATAAGTACAGCTGAGATCAATGGGGATGTGATTAGTTTGCTCATAATGGCTTAAGACACCCATATACAGTGAGGAAAATAAGTATTTGAACACCCTGCTATTTTGCAAGTTCTCCCACTTAGAAATCATGGAGGGGTCTGAAATTGTCATCGTAGGTTCATGTCCACTGTGAGAGACATAATCTAAAAAAAAAAATCCAGAAATCACAATGTATGATTTTTTTAACTATTTATTTGTATGATACAGCTGCAAATAAGTATTTGAACACCTGTCTATCAGCTAGAATTCTGACTCTCAAAGACCTGTTAGTCTGCCTTCAAAATGTCCTCCACTCCATTTATTATCCTAAATTAGATGCACCTGTTTGAGGTCGTTAGCTGCATAAAGACACCTGTCCACCCCATACAATCAGTAAGAATCCAACTACTAACATGGCCAAGACCAAAGAGCTGTCCAAAGACACTAGAGACAAAATTGTACACCTCCACAAGGCTGGAAAGGGCTACGGGGAAATTGCCAAGCAGCTTGGTGAAAAAAGGTCCACTGTTGGAGCAATCATTAGAAAATGGAAGAAGCTAAACATGACTGTCAATCTCCCTCGGACTGGGGCTCCATGCAAGATCTCACCTCGTGGGGTCTCAATGATCCTAAGAAAGTGAGAATCAGCCCAGAACTACACGGGAGGAGCTGGTCAATGACCTGAAAAGAGCTGGGACCACCGTTTCCAAGGTTACTGTTGGTAATACACTAAGACGTCATGGTTTGAAATCATGCATGGCACGGAAGGTTCCCCTACTTAAACCAGCACATGTCAAGGCCCGTCTTCAGTTTGCCAATGACCATTTGGATGATCCAGAGGAGTCATGGGAGAAAGTCATGTTGTCAGACTTTTTGGTCATAATTCCACTAACCGTGTTTGGAGGAAGAAGAATGATGAGTACCATCCCAAGAACATCCCTACTGTGAAGCATGGGGGTGGTAGCATCATGCTTTGGGGGTGTTTTTCTGCACATGGGACAGGGCGACTGCACTGTATTAAGGAGAGGATGACCGGGGCCATGTATTGCGAGATTTTGGGGAACAACCTCCTTCCCTCAGTTAGAGCATTGAAGATGGGTCGAGGCTGGGTCTTCAAACATGACAATGACCCGAAGCACACAGCCAGGATAACCAAGGAGTGGCTCTGTAAGAAGCATATCAAGGTTCTGGCGTGGCCTAGCCAGTCTCCAGACCTAAACCCAATAGAGAATCTTTGGAGGGAGCTCAAACTCCGTGTTTCTCAGCGACAGCCCAGAAACCTGAGATCTACAGAAGATCTGTGTGGAGGAGTGGGCCAAAATCCCTCCTGCAGTGTGTGCAAACCTGGTGAAAAACTACAGGAAATGTTTGACCTCTGTAATTGTAAACAAAGGCTACTGTACCAAATATTAACATTGATTTCTCAGGTGTTCAAATACTTATTTGCAGCTGTATCATACAAATAAATAGTTAAAAAATCATACATTGTGATTTCTGGATTTTTCTTTTTTAGATTATGTCTCTCACAGTGGACATGCACCTACGATGACAATTTCAGATCCCTCCATGATTTCTAAGTGGGAGAACTTGCAAAATAGCAGGGTGTTCAAATACTTATTTTCCTCACTGTATATTAAAGTGGTAACCTATAACGTAACCACCACAGTATAAAATCTCTAACAGCAAATTTACATTGAGTCTGTGCAGCAACTAACAATTTATTTTAGTTATAAATTAATCTACTGTTAATCAATTTTACTATAAAATATCAAATACAAAATATAAAAGATTAGATAAAAGATAAAATATTAAAACATATTTACTATTATATAGACAGAAATACATGTCTGGCTTTGGTTTTGCTTGAAAAATGAAACAATTTTCTGTCAAACGATTAATTGATAATTGCTGTCAGTTATGAGAATCATTCGCTTTTCAATAATAAAAAAAGGAACTCACCAAGCAGAAAACCCCATTGCTGTTCCCTCTCAAACACAGAGTGCCTCTAATTGAAAACCAATGAAGAATTTACTTCCGCCTACAGCATTCAGCACAACTACCTGTTGCTGAGTTAATTATATTAAGTAGGCAAAGGCAAACTCTTGTTTGTTTGTAAGCCTGATTCTTACAATATCTGTCACAAACCCATTCAACCATTTTAATCTGCAGCATATAAATAAGGCACACATTAATTTCCAAAGCCTTGTGAAGTTATTTGTGCACTGCGGGCACTTTGATTAAGACCTGGACAAAAAGCATCAGTCCTGGAAAGTCAATACACTAACATCTTTACGGGGAATTGTTCACACGACATTGGTTGGCTGTGACTTTTCAGCACAACTTTTATGTTCACATCACCAGAGTGCACAAAGTGACATCCTGGTGTAAAAGTTTACACAGCTCGAAGATCTTCAGGGCATTTTCTCAACTGTACAACACTAGACTCCCTTCAGACTATCCCTTCACACTAATACTGGCTTTGTACACTCATCCAAAACCATTCTGGGGGATACATTAATCACACACATTTTGCACACATTTCCCAAAAGTAATGCCGGAGCCATGTCATTATGTAAATACAACAGGATTTTGGGCCGTAATGAACAGCATGATGTGGTTACAGCGATGTGATGCTGTTAAACTTGACAGGCTGGACCGAAAGCAGGTAAGATATCACAAACCTAACACAATTCCCTCTCTACAATTAAATTAAATGGTCATGTCAAGAGGATTATTATGGGGAGTTTGCCACAGATTTTGTGACCACAATCCACATATAATAATGAGGGGATGATTGCCATCTGACGCATTTGTGTCATTACATACAGAAAACATTATGATCGGGATTTCAATTTAAAAAATCATTATTAAAACTAAAAGGGACAATATCTGCAGCCTTATAATCTTTTTTTTTTTTTTAAACAGCTTTCTCTCTGCATTTCCTGGAAACAGGCATCAGTTTTATCTTGGGAGAGGAGGCTGGATGCCTTATTCACAATGAAAATGTCAGCATGTGGTGGCAGAAAACAATACTCCTAAAAGGGAAAGAGAGGAGCTTGATTGATGTCAGACCGTAGCACATGACCAATTATTTATTCCCCCTAAGCGGATCACTTTTATAACTGCATTTCAGGTGCACTGCTATAGTAGCACTCTAATCATCATTTCCAAAATTCTGCTGGCCATGAACTGGTGCCAGTGACTACATTTAAACCTTGATTCATGAAAACAGGATCCTAATATAGTCTGCCAAGTAGCTTATTTGGCATGAAATCTGACATTACCCTGCTCTTTAGGAATCAATGTCAAATTTATCTGTTAATCCTTTAGACAGACTGGTGCATATCTAAACATCACCTCAACATGGGTTTTTTTATTTGTCCTCCACAGGTGCAGAAACATAACGTATCCTTTAAACCTCCCTCAAGTGAGCATTGTGTTCATTTTTGTGAATGAAGCTTTGTCCGTCATCCTGCGGTCCATTCACTCTGCCATCAGCAGGACGCCCTCCCACCTTCTCAAAGAGATAATCCTGGTGGACGACAACAGCAATAACGGTAAGCAGCATAAATTTATAATACAGCAATGTAACAATCATTGCTTTACAACCATGACCAGGCATGGCAGGCCTGTCATGCTTTGGATTTAAACATGTTGAAGTGGTGTGTAAGAAATCTGCTTTGTCTACCTCTGTCAGAAGTAAAGGATCAATTATTATTATTGTTATTATTGTTATTGTTGTTATTAATTGCTTTTATTATTTCAGTAGTAAATGTTCCACCACTTTCATTTTAAACTGTATTATGTGCTATGTGAGAATGCTTGACAGGCATGGCAGTAACTAAGGGGGGAAGAGCTTAGTAACATGTTAACAACCATTTTGGAATGTAGCTTTAAAAGAGACCTGTAGTTTACATATCATTGCCCCGCATATGTGGAGAAAACTGTGATATTTACTGCTCCTCTGACGGCCTCCAGACTCCTTTAATGTTTTTAATTGGGGGCTGTGTTCACTGGATTTAACCGATAGATGAATTACACTAATTAGCTGCAAAGTGAGGAAATTTGCCCCGAGGCAGATAACAATCCAGCAAGGTGATGAAGTGTTTGTACATATCTTGTGTGCATTTGCAACCCTATTTCTTACATCGGCATGCATTGGATGTAGTGTAAACAGTGTTGGATTGAAAAGATATCCAGTATACGCTGACAATGTTTAGCTGCTGAGCTTTCATCACTTGTTATTTCTAAGATGATGTGTGTGATCACTGATAGGTGACTTTAGTCTGCCATGCAAGGCATAAGAAATAGACTTGAAGTCACCTGTGAAAAGTGGACCTATAATTTACAGTGTAAGACTTAACTACATTACAAAGGCTGAAAGCAGGCTATAAAAAGGTAATTTATAGGCAATAAACATTTAAATCGGCTGTGCTGCTTGTAACAAGGAATAAGACAGCCATTAAGGGCAATCAACATGGGAAATACTGGCACAGGGAAGAATATGTTTACCAAAGTCAATAATGCAAAACATGTAGCATGGCCTGTAGCCTGCTGGAAGAGAATATATAGATCACTATGGTATTTCTTGGTAACATCTCAACACGGTGGGATAAGAATGATCACTCTTCCTCAGGCTGTTATTGACCAGAAAGTTGAATATATATCCAGAGTTACCCGTTAATAAATGTAAAGATGAAAATCCAAAAGTTTACTCGCACTCCTTTTAGCACATTATTGAATTATCACATCAGACCCCACAAACATTCATATTTCATCACATAATTGAGAGCAAGGGAGCAGTCGCCTTTAGCTCTTTCAGGGACCCAAGTCACGCATTGACATTTTGCTGATGGCATTTCACCCTGTTTGCCTGAACACTCTGTCACGCTTCCTCTGATAGGTCTGGTGTTATCATTATCGCCATAACTGTGAATCTTATCTTGGCTAAATGTTGTTAGCCTGTTGACCCGTGATGCCGCTGAGATTGTGGAAGGGGTCATTGTCCACACCTAACCTTCCAGGCATCCACAGCTTTACATTAGTCATCCACCACTGTCACAGCTCACCTCCGAGAGGCATTAGCATGCAGGAGAACGTGGAGCTATCAAGGGAGAGAAGGACAAATTGACCTAGCTGATTCCTCCTTAATTGGATAATGTCCCAAGCTGTGGCCCGAGAAAGGCTTGTCTTTGTAAGAGTGGGGTTGTGAGAAGTGCTCCCTTATTAGTCAGGCTGTCAGAAGACTTATGATTCCATACTTTAACTAATACCAAGGAGTCTTATATATATGTGAGGGTGATAAATTTTTGTGATGAGCAGCTAATTTCAAGCAACATGAAGACAGACAGAAACCTGTTTCCCATGGCTTCTCTGCCTGATCGCTGGTTGTCAGGGACTTTCTGAGTCTGACTGAGCTCACCTGTGATGGAGCCCTTTAGGTGGCCATTGGAGAGATCTGAACATCTTAGTTGGTTATAATTCATCCCCAAGCGACGTAATGTGGATTTAGTCAACAACTGAGGTGCCCATAGAAGTTCCAGCAACTGTTTGAAACCAGATGGATATCCAGCAAATGGTCGCTGTAAGTCTGGCCAAAAAAAAGGCTGGAGGGTACACAAAAGATATCAGCAAAAACCAACAAAGCTGAGTTTACAGTATGTCCTGCCAACTATAACACACAAGCAATGCACATTTGTACTGGAACTTCAGCAACATGTTTTCAAAATGTTTTTAACAAACTGCGAGTCTTGGTTCCAAACCCTGGACCCAGAATTTGGATACGAGACTGGTGAAATTGTGGAGGGAGAGCGATTATCAGTTGGATATTTTAAACAGAGAATTTCACACCTGCGGAGTTGTGTAGTCAGAGATTGCCAAATGGTGTAGCGAAACTACACAGCAACTGTGAGACCTGTATCCATGCCGATTTGCCATCTGCGGTGCAAGCAGTAACGCCTGTGTGATGATAAATGGTCTTTAGTTTGAACATGCATGAAGAGAACATACCATGTTCGAAGCTTAGACAGACAAGCACAGTTCAGACACACTGCACATTAACATGCAGTTATGAAGCAGCCTATAGAAAGTTGAAAAAGAGAGGTTTAAAGCCATGTTGGAATAGAAGACATGTTTGGTTTTGAATACAGAAAGCTTTCAGTGTTGATTCAGAATAAAACAGTATCCATGTTCAGGTAGTTATACACTGTTTCTTACAATCTTATCTTGTTATATCAGACTGAGGATAGAATGGAAGTGACAAATTCCCCGTTAGTTTTTTACCTTCTGAGAAAAAGCTGTTTTCTTGTTTCATTTTGAATATGTTACTGGATTTACAGCAATGTTAGAAACCTGTTTGTGTGTTGTTCCAGTCAAACTCCATCCAAAAGCCCATTGCTTTCCAGCAGAGCTTCAGCGGGATATCAGTCCTAAAAGATTGATGACTGGTGGCCATCAGCCATTCCTAGTGTAATGAGCTGTGCTTTATTATGATTTGTTATAAGGCAAAACAAATAATTTTTCAATCCTACACACATCAGAATGTCTTAATTATTGATTGATTAAAAACTATTATAATCTGGTGGAACGTCACTAGCAGCTGCTCGCATGATTAACTACAGTAGCTTTTCTTTAGCCAGAATCAAGAGTGAGTCAGAGTCCAAAGTGAAGACATTTTCCTACTACATACAGTGTGCTGTGTTTCTCAGCCCAGGCTTTTCCTGATCCAAAGTCCCTCTGCTTTAAGGTCTGGATAACTAATCAAGGCAAATTTACACCTGGGGTGTCTGAAGATTGCAATTAAAGGGGAAAAATACAAAAAAAACAAACCACTATAGAATTGAATGTTGCATGCCATGTATAGTATTGTGTGAGTGTTATTCTGCTTCAGACGTTTTTATAGTCTTGGTGAAAAATAGCAACAGTTCTCTGAGTTTCAAGGACCAACAGCGTCCACTGGGACAAAAAGTGAAACACTGAATCTCTGACTCTGATACACTGTAATTAAATTTTAGACAACAATTTAAGAAATCGAGCAAATTAAGTTGTTGTGGCCTCAGTGTTTTGGATTAGGTATGAATATACATACCCTTACAGACACCCGTTGGGTCTCCATCTTGTTTGTATTGTGCACATTAACAAAGCACTTGCACATGTGTTAGCATGCAGGCAGCAAGATACATATTCCTGTTGCCAGTTTTATTCCATTGATCAACATCTGGTGGCCGTAAAGTGAAAAGAAGCGTAGCAGTGAACTAACAAAGGCAGTGAAGCTGCAAGCTAGCAAACATGGGTGCAAGAATTACGAGGAAGGAAATGGATTCACATGTGAATCACATTTGTTAGGCCTAAAGGATACACACAATGCACTTTCTTGATAAACAGAGAATTTAAACATAACTCTGTTAGTAAGATAACTCAGAACACATAATGTATTGACTCATGACTCATTCGTAACTGGAAAAGACAACATAGCCACAGTTGAGACTTAACTTGTGTATATATACATTTGACCCAAAGTAGAGTATGTCTCCTCTAAGAAAAAACTGAGCTGTCGAACATCCTTATGGGTGAAGATAATTGCTTCTTTCCTAACCTCAGAAGGGACTGCTGATGACAAGATACGAGGTGAAATCATTCCCATTATATATTCTTGCATTTTACATTCACTGTTGTAGAATCACTGATTGATATGCTGTGAGAGTTGTTTCTACTTCTTTTCAGGTGCCGCCATTAACTATCATGCCAAACAGCCTATATTTGTTGTTTGCACAGCGGGAGAAAATAAGGCTGCTGAAAAATATTTATAAATGATGGATCACATTCAAATAACTCAGTGCTGAAGCAGGTTCATGTGTCACTGTGCCAAGTGTGTGATGGGAAAATGTGCCGCTTTAATCGTATTCTGTGCATTTGATCAAAGCTGAGTCTCATGTCGTGCACTTTGTTTTAATAACAGATATAAACTTCCATAATGTAGTCAGTGACTTCACAGACTTCATAATCAGATTAACTACTTCTCTAACCAAACTTTTTTCTGATTTTGGAAAATCAATGATTTTTTTGTTGTTTTTTTGGACTTTATAAAATGCCTCACCCTGCCTCTGAAGAAGCCAGACACAGCATGATTTCACAGCGGACGCTTTCTGCCTGCTTGCAACTGCTCCCCAATTCCCTTAAATGGTGCTGGCTGTTAAGAGAATAGTGAGAACACAGCCAAAGGTGATTTATACAAGGTATGATGAAACAGTGCTGATGACAGTTGTATTTTTTCCTGCCTTATATGGTTGATAGTACAGAATAGTAGTGATATAATTGTGTTTTTTCACACATTTCAAAACAGACTCCAAAACACTTGGTCACCCAAGTTTTTTGCACTTCGCCTGTAATTTTTCCAGCCGAACCACAAGAGGAACTTCTATTACAGCACTGTGTCCGTAATTTCTTGTATGTTAGAGAAAATCAGCACAAACATTGCAACCAACTTGTCAGGAGAACTACAATTTGTTTTCATATAAATAGCACAGACTCTTTTATCCTGCAGGCTATGACTCATCACACAGTATATAGCTCAGGTAATAATGGAGGTAAAGTTTGAAGCCAAACAGTAAAATGGATGGACTTCCTCGATCTCCTCCCATCGTGTTTTGAAAAGAATTGCAGGCTGAGTCCTCAATATTGCAATATCCCGTTATGACTAGTAAGCCCGGTGGAGGTCTGCAGTGCTGGCTCAAGCTGCTGCCTCTTTGGTCCAGTGATCAAAGCAGTGAAGCATGAGTACTTTTGGCCTCCTACCAATAAAATACTGCCCACTGGAGGAGGACATGACGACGTCTTGTGGGTGGAAGTTTGCTCACAAACAGCTCTCACTGTCCTCACCTATCTTAGCCGGGATCTTCAAAAACTCTTCAGGTATTGATGTAAAATTTCTGTGCGTTTTGTAGATGACCTAAAGGAGAAGCTGGAAGATTTTGTGTCTGAGACTAACAGCCAACGTCCAGGATTCATAAAGATGGTGCGGCACGCCAAGCAGGAGGGTCTGATCCGGTCTAGAGTGAGTGGGTGGAGAGCTGCCACTGCCCCAGTTGTTGCCCTGTTTGATGCCCACGTCGAGTTCAACGTTGGCTGGTGAGTCACTCACAACGACTGTGTCATGAGGCTAGCACAGCACAACAGGAGCACTGGTTCTTGAGTCATATGCCTCTGTGTGGGATTTACAGAAAATCATTTAATTTTAAAACAAAAAATGCAGGTTAGCTCTTTTTCTAGTGACTGTATTCTGTGTCTGTGACAGAAACATTCATACGATATACACAGAGTACACTCTGCATGAGATCACAACAATCACACATCTGCCAGCGCCACCGAATAACTGTGCACTATGTCCCAAATCTGTCATGAGAATCTGAACATTCCAAACTTTTATAATAATTGATTTGATGTGGTTTTAAATACTCATTGTACAAAAATCTAAATGTGCGAACTGTATCTGTTTTCTTGATCCAGACATGAACTTATTACTGCAATAATCTGAAATTTTGGGAATTGGCTTTCTTGCCAAAAGCTAGATGACAACTTTCTTCTCATCTAATCCTCAACAAGAAAGCAAATTCCAAAATGTAGAACTATTCTTTTAAATCTTTATATAAGTCTTTTTTTTTTAATTGTATTTATTAATTCCCTAGTGGCAAATCGCACACCTTCTTACACCTTCTTATCGTCTTTTTGTCATTTATTTAGAATTGGAGTGTAAATAACTTTGACCCCTTTTGAGACATGTTCAACAGTAAAGGGCACACATGCACATTAAATGACCTTGTAAATGTATTGTATAGTTTTTGAATCCCCTCATTGGGGAGTTTGCAAGAGAATAAACTTATTTTATCACTTCATATTTTGATTAATAAAATTCCATCACATTGTTAAACTAGTAAATTGGATTGAATTTGTGAAATTGTTTTTTAAAAAGTGCTCCTTACATGACAGGCATGATCACAAAGGTAATGGAGAAAGCCTGTCAAAACAAACGCTCACAGTAAAATTACTTTCTCTTTCCATATTTGAAGGGCTGAACCCATTCTGCAGAGAATTAAAGAAGACAGAACCCGCATAATCTCCCCATCATTTGACAACATCAAGTATGACACGTTTGAGATTGAAGAGTACCCGCTGTCTGCCCAGGGCTTTGACTGGGAGCTGTGGTGTCGCTACCTCAACCCACCCAAGTCCTGGTGGCACAAGGGCAACAAGAGTGCACCAATCCAGTAAGTGAATGCAATAATGTCTTGATAGCCAGAATAAAATAATATATTTTTTATGTGAATTGAAGTAACCCTGCTAAAAGGATCATTCATGCAGTATTCATGAACAAATTATATGTTGTGTATCAGATTTTTGTTCTTGTCCTTGCTATCACCATAGCAACTGTGCCAAGCTAACATTACCTGTGCAGAGGACAGCAACAGACAAACAAAACTGATCTTCATCATCTTTAATCCCCCCAGGAGCCCGGCCCTGATTGGCTGCTTCGTGGTGGATAGGCTGTACTTTGAGGAGATTGGCTTGCTGGATGAGGGAATGGAGGTGTACGGGGAGAAAATGTGGAGCTGGGCATCAGGGTGAGTAATAATGTCACCCCCGTGGCCATGGGCCATTGTTCATCCAGGTAATGTGTGGAAAATTAACTATGATAATGACATTAAATGGCTGTTAGGAACAAGGTCACAGAGGGCCTTGTAGTGTTCCTTTTATGTTAAATACTTAACTCATTGGAAAAGTGTCATTTGGCTGCAAGCGATGTGGACTGTGCATTTAAAAATTGTGTATAAGTGGAGTGGCAGTTAGCAAGGAGAGGAAAATCAGAGCTTTGGCCAATGTAGGCCAACGCATGCATTTATTTTCATGAAAGGTCAGTGTTCTGCAAACTGTCAGAATGATGCTTTTGATAATATGTTATTTTAATCTAATGCAATTTATCCCATGTTATTCTATATTATTTGTTGTGGAAAAATTCCATAAAAAAGACCAAAACCACAATGCATATGTCTGTCTCTCTCGACTCTCCCCTGTTTGTGACACTCAGCCCATTGGATTTTACTGAAGACAAAACAATCTAACCTCACGGTCTATTTAGCACCTCTTCTGACGCTTTTGATCATATCACAAGATCCTCATCAGCATTACTTAATTCTTAAAAAGGGTTATGTGATTTCTTAAAACAGCTGGGGAATGCAGTTTTTACAAATGTTACTCAAACAGCAGTAAATAGTGCATTTGTTTTGGACTGTTTTCAGCCTTGGATTTATACACATTTGGTGCTCTAGTGAGCATTTAAAGCAGCAGGACAGTGTTTTGCATGGGATGGATAAGTATAATAAATTAAAGTACCCTGGGTCAGAAATACTGAGGTTCCAACATGAAGCTCAAAATACAGTGTCAAAGCCCTCTCCACACTGCGAGGAAAAAAATCCTTATATATATATATTTTTTTTTTTTCTTTTCTTTGTTGACCAAAAATATAGTGAAATTCCAATATGCTGAATCTTGAAATACTTGTATGAACTTATGAAATACCAACTATGTTAACAATCTGCGTCACCAATTTTAACAATGTCGTTTGCGCAGAGTAGAATAATATAAAAAAAGATATAGAATATCACCAACCAGATTCTTGAAACGCCTTAAAACAACTATAGTAATGGCAATACTTACATGCTTTGACAGGAGCAGGTGAACACAGTAGAGGATCATTTAGTGTACCCAGTGTGTCTTTTTGTTGTCAGTTTTGGCAATAGTAACTAATCACTGCTAATTTATTCTGAAGTCTGAATGATCACCTTCATCCCCTGTTGATTCCACTGAAGCACATGTGAGAGTTGTAGGTCTCAAAGTCATTGTTACCGTTGGCAGTGATGTGTGAAGAGAACGTCGGCATTGCTCAGAGCAGAAAGACGCACTGTGTCTGGTAGTTGTGTTGCATTCTTCTCAAGTGTTGTACTTAAATTGTACACCATCGCCAGCTCTGAGTTGGATGAAAATCGTTTCGGTGTGCCTTCAGTTCAACAGTACCACAAGCAGATGGGCTGGAGAAAGAACAGTCCCCCATAGGGATAGCTAATGACAGTACACATCTACTGTACAAAGTCATTAATGCAGCTATCAGCCTGTTTAATAACAGCAAGAAGCGTGGGACAAGTCCTCCTCAGGTTCACTCTGACTAGATTTCACTGTGAGAAGAAAATGGAGACAAGCTTGCAACACGGTGCTGAATGTGGAAATATCCATCCACACTAATGACATAGATGCAATCATCAGTAAAGAAGGGAGATTAGTCCCATAAGTCATTTTCCTCCAGAAATTACATGCTTTTAGAATTCCTGGGCCTGATAATAGACCCACTGATTGCTTTATAGCTGGACACATTGATGATTTTATCACATATCACATATTATAAACCAGGGTCCTAGCCCCATGTATAAACAGTTTGATAAATCATTTTGGTTCATTGCTCTGTATCTTGAGTTCAGTGTTGCACTCCATGTTGTTTATTTGCTTGGTTATGTTGGACTGAAGGAACGTGCCCTTGCCTAGAGGTTAATGTAGTTTAGAGTTCAGTAATGCTTTTGAAACAGAGGGTGACACATTGAGCTGAGAGCTACCAGACTGGAGGACCCTGGCTTGGCCCCAGATTAGCAGTCCCATAGAGCCCCAGCAGGTACTGCCTGTCTGTCTGCCTGTCTGCAGCGTATTGGTCATGCCTCCAGACCACCTGCCAGCACACAGACTGGCTGCTGATGGATCCTCAGAGACACACTCAAACCAGGTCAACAGCTACAGGCTTTGGCTTAGGCTTGAAAGGGATGTCCTCGGTAGTGTGAGGGTGAAATGAACCGCTGCTCTCTGTTCATGTTTGGTCACAAAGTGAAAGTTGTATATGTCTACATAATGACAAAAATGTTTGTTTCAAATAAATGTTATGTGTTATTTTTGTGTCACAAAACATCCTTATGTGCAACTGTTGTGGTATGTGTGTGTTGTTGTGCTCCTATGTGAATTAAGTAGACTTTTATTCTGAAGTATACACATCAACACATCCAGTGTTATTTTTCCTGTTTTTCCTATACTGCATAAAGTGTTATTACTGTACAATTTTATTATTTTTCTACTTTCTGTTAACTTTACGCTTGTGGAAGGCAGACAAAAGTGTTAGCTAATGTTTTTTTCCTGTCATTTTCAAACTAGTCATCTGAGACTGAACAACTCCCACATTTACATCTGTCGGAAGAGGGCACTTGTTAACCATGATCAATTCAAATATCCATGGCTTCACTGACAGTGATTCTGCCACCGCAGTAACACCAGCAGCACAGTGAGCACAACACATAAAGCAGCAGATGGATTCGTCTATAGAGAGTTTTAGCAGGAAGTTAGTGACTGCTTATTTTACTAACTGTATGTGTTCCATTTGGACTGGCTTTACACCAAAAAGGTCTCCAAAAGTGACCTCGGGGCACCATATGTGGCAATAAATTGCTGAAAGATAAACCTGGGAACCGTAGTCCTTGTTGTAGTCCAGTATAAAACAAAACGCAGAGTTGTCTGACAGCACTGGCTGTCATTTTGAGCTTCACGTCACAGAGTGTTGATTTGTTTTTTGAAAAACTGAGATGGATATGGTGCAAACCTAAGATATAGTTTTTGTGAAGTGATCCTGGAGCCAATCCCAGCTGACATCGGTCGAAAGGCGGGGTACACCTTGGACAGATCGCCAGTCCATCGCAGTTGACCAAAGTATTTGGCATGCAATTTGTATTCAATACAAACAACGTTTAATATTATCTTTCACAGTATTTTAATTAGCAGAAAAGTACAGAGAGCATATGGAATAATTAAAACTCTTGAGAAATGCAAAATAAAGACCATGTCCTCATATTCAAAATTCATTTCAAAACACTTTACATTTTGATTTGACCTTGGCAGCTTGCACATTGTGATCAACTACCAAATTTAAAAACAATTCATCCACATATTTAAAGGTAAATGGTAACTGCTGCACTTTTTAAATTTTAATACAAAGTGGCATATTTGTATGAAGTAGGCATAAAAGTATGATCGAAAGCTAAAGATTTTTATTAGCCCAGATTCAACATAAAATACATCACAACATGATGTAATACAGTTAAAAGTCTAGATATGCTAAATATGTCCATGTTAGCCTGTTAAAGCAGGTTCACTTACAGTTTTTCTCAGTCGCTTTGGTGCATTTCTCAGATCAGAATTGAAATTCTCAAAACTAATTGTTCAACCTCCACATCATCTCGTCACTTGTGCACATCATAAAAGCACTTTCTCATTGTTTTGAACAAATTGCAAATGCTCACTAGAGCACCAATGACACTGTGATGCAAATGATTATGTACAATTGTCTGCTGTTTCCTACATTATCAATTGCTTATGTCCTGCTGATCACAATGAATTATGTCGCTGTTGAATAATCTTACCCCCCAAAACATCTAGGCATAAATTCATTGCATTAGTCACTACATGCAAAATGGTTGAACATGTTATCAAAAATCAAAGTTAAAATACTTTATTCATATCCTTTGCCTACAAGTATATAGCTAAACGAAATGTTGTTTCTTAAGGACCATAAACAAAGAATAGACCCCAACAACATCACAATAGCAACACTCATACCAATACTCAATACCAGGAAACAGTAACAATACAGTGAGCAGTAATATATATATATATATATATATATATATATATATATATAAAACAAATGGTGTTTTCCCCTGAGAACAGGATAATTAATTTTCTCGTGATCACGAGATAACAAACCATAGCTGAATACAGGCGCTGGCAGGTGCGTTTCTTTTCAAAGCAATTACCAGTGTCACTGGTTAGTTCAGTTGGTAGAGCACAGGGCTCAGTCTGATTAGTTTGATTCCTGTTCTTGTTGACTTTCTTTTTCTTCTTTTGTGTGTATTATCTTCTTCAGCAAAATTGTTATGAAGAGATTGAGGGGAATCCAATCGCACATTTCCCGACGGCTATTTCAAAGGTTCCGAAAGCCATCAGGAAATGTGTAACGTTACATGGATTCCCCTGAATGAGAAGGAATTTCTGTCTCTGCCTGGGAATGATGGGGAAATGAGTCCATCGGTTGATAGATATGGACCAAGAATGAGTCCAGCACATGCTTTACAGTAATGTGAGCTTGTGAAACATTTCATAAGAACTTTTATGGTTTATGGTTATCTCAAAATCACGAGAAAATGATGAGTAAAAAAATATTTGATTAGGGTTCTGTGAATATATATATGAATATATAGATAGACATTCTATACATGTCTATTAGAATTTTTTTGTAAATGTGTCCTGAATTGATGAAGATATCGGTTGTGATGTGGAAGAGAATCTGTGATACAACAGACCGGAACGTCAGCCAAAGGGGTGTATCCCATGCAACAGTCCTGTCTCTTTCTTTTCTTCTTACAATGACATGCTCTGTCAACAAATTACAGTACGAACAGTAAAAGCATTGCTGTGATTCCTGTCCTCTCTCCTGCAATGTATGACTTTGTACTGGTGAAAGTGATATATGCCATACAAA